CATGAGGCCAAAGCTTGCTTTAGGTGCGAGCGGCTTCGGATCTCATTGTCGGTGTCCTTCTTCGGAGTACAGAGGAAAGCTGCAACTGCAGTTTGATGGATGTCGCTACCATCATGTCGCCTGGCGTGCTCCAAGCGCAGTCCGCCCAAGGTCATAATGCCGTCCTTCGCCCAGTTGTTGCGAACTGCAGGGAGGTTCTTGTAGATTCGCGAGCAAGGCAAGCAGTAAACTTTGAAGCGATTGTCCTCTGTCCACTCGGACGCAAGCCAGGACCCAGGAACAGTTCCGGAAGGGTCCAGTGGAAGCTGACTCTCCCACGATTCCTTGACTCGGCTGAACCGCTCCCAGACTTTCAACGCTGCCGCCATTTCTTCGTTAGAGGTCTTCAAAGCATCACCGTCGTCACTCGCCATGGCGCTGGTGGTGCAGAAATTTTCACCCAAGTAATAACCCCTACTTGAGCTGGAAGGCAGCCGAGACAAACTGAGAGTATTCAAGCATTGGGCAGCATAGACTCAAACCGCAAAGTGATCATACAGAAAGTGGCACTGTGCATGACCATCGCACTGCAAAGTGATCAGCAAGCAAAGCACTAACTAACACACCGGTGACCGACGGTGCCAACATGATCCAACATGTAACTGTAGCTCACGCTACTGCAACAACATGTCACTGCAACTGCGGCCCACTGAAGCTCTGTCAATTCTGCGCTGCGAGACCCGGCCTGGCAGCGTGCTGAAGCGAGGCCCCATCCTCCAGGCCTGAGCTCACAATGTCTTTCAATCTTTAGGGCCAACATGACGGCAACACATGACTGCTGGTTCGGTCCTACAAGGAAGCTCCCTCATGAACAGAAGCAGCATGCCAAACAGAGACGGAGCACTTTTCGTCACTCGGAGGTTGAGAGGTGGTTCTGCTGCGCACAGGGCCGACCTTTCTGGAATGCGGCCTTCCCCGCCCTGTCACACAGACAGTGACTTAGAAGAATAAAATCTGCCGTTTCAAATGGCATCTCTGTACACAGATTGGGATCTGAACATAAGGAGGCTTAGCTGCAATTAGGCATGGAAAAGATGGCAGCTTTGCTTACCATGTGCGGTAGGATTCCACTTCACCTCACCTTTAAACGCTACCACAACCACATGGCTTCTTCCTTTACAGAAAGGCAACTCATGGGACGAAAAATCCCGGGACGAAAAATCCCGCCCTACTCCTCCTCCAGCAAGTGCTCTCTGGCCCTCAACACATCCAGAATCTGAAGCATGCCTTCTGCGCATGTGGCACGTACAGCTTCCAATTCACACATGCGCTGGTACAGCTGGTAGCTAGGTGCATTGAGATCCATGGGCAAGTTGGACGTCACACAAGTATCTGGGGTCACACCATGTCCCATGACAAATAAAGCCACAGGAGGTAGCCCAACGGCTTCCTGCTTAGACAGACGTACTGATGCGTCATGTATCTTCTCAAGGTCCTGCGTGACTTGCAGCATGAATTGGTGCTGCTGAGGCAGTTCAAGACCGGTACGGCGCAGCAACTTCTCCTTTGTTGCTCTCTTCAACTTCTGACCGATTGTCCGCGGCGCTTTCGGCTTTGCCATGACTTCTACAAAATAAGTTCCCAAAACTGAAGAGGAACATGGACTGCAGTCTAGACTTCAAACAGCACTTGCCCCTTCCTATCAGCCAGGGTGTACCCCCCTGAGTCGAAGGCTCTGAATGGATGCTCTCCCGAGACGATAGGGGACGTACCCATGCGTGCCTGGGCCAAGGTTTCCAAGGAAAATGCTGCGAGACGCAAGAAATGACGCATCTACAAAGTCTGCAGATCGCAAGCTTCTGTTTGGAAGACTAGCTGCCCTTGGGGTTGGGGACGTCCCCAACCGTTTGGGGAGGGGCTCTTTCCAGAGGCTTCCATTGAACAGCGCTACCCTGGCTAATAAGAGGGGGCACGCTACCACCTGGTTGATGAGAAGGAGGCACGCCTTTTTACTGCAGCATTCTTCGCCGATTGGTCGTGAACGTGTCACGTCTCTACAACAGAGCTGTGCATGTAACAACTTGCAAGATCAACTGCATCATCACGTTGACTGACATTGCATTGCCGATCATTGTGCCATAGGCTGAGCGTCTTATTCCCTGCAAGTTAAAGTTTTCTGGGCCACACACTCCCTGTGCGCGAGCTAACTCATGCATGGACAGCCGGCGGCGCATGTTGAGGCTGTAGTAGGCCTGGTTCGAGCAACGGTTTGCAGTGAGGGTTGGCAACCCGTCGACGGTGTAGCGTTTGCCGCGCCCAGCACCGAGATCCACCACGACATGTTTGCTTGCTTCTTCTTCTGTCAAGCCGGCGTACGCATTCACAATGCTGTCGACAGCTGTTGCCGTTGATGTGGCCTCTTCTGTGAGGTCCTCCACTGAACAGCAGCGCTTGCTCACGTCAGAGCCAGCGTCAAGGATGCCAGAAAGGCCGCCATGATGCCCAACTGACGCTGGGAAAGTGAAGCCACGGTCCAAGTGGGCAGCCAGAGCCACAACATACAATCGGCGGCGTGCTTGAGGCGTCCCAAGCTCAGCAGTGTCCATGACTTTGCAGTAAACGTTATAGTAGTTGGAACCTGCGTCATTTGTAACTGCCTGCAGAATCTGCATGGCTTCCTGGAACCTTTTGCTACGCTTCCATGCCACTACGTTTTCCAAGATTATGCACTTGGGCTTGGCTTGGCGAACATAGGCCAGGACTGCTGATTCCACGTGACTTCTTGGACCCTGCTCTGCAAGGCCCAGACCCTCAGTACTGTATGGCTGGCACGGACAGCCAGCTACAAAAATGTCCGTAGTCTCTTCTGCTTGGAACGCAGCGTGATGCACATCATGATGCAGTCGGCTATATACCACGTTCTGCCTCAAGAAATGGCGGACATTTGGGTCATTGTCACACGTGAAAAGGACCCTATGGCTGACACCTAGCCGTGTCAGGGCCTGGCTTTCTGTCGCCCAACCGGTGCAGGCTGAGGCCACCCGCAGCTCCGGGGACTCTGCAGCGCAGAGAGCAAACGGAGCACTAGGGGCTTGCGGTAGGGCTTCAGGCACTGACTGCTTGCGCTTCTTCGTTCTGCGCCGTATTCTCAGCTCAAAGATGTCGCCCTCCTCCATGGCTCACGAGACTCTCACCCTGGCAGCCCAACCTCATAAAGAAAATGGCAGGGCTAAGGCTTCATCACGCTGAACTCCCAAAGTGTCACCTACTCAGACACTCGCGCAGAAACAACCCTCTACGTTTTGTTCTATGCTTGCAGGGACATGTCAGCAGCAATTTGAGCACTGTGGACCATCGCACTGCAAAGTGATCAGCCAGCAAAGCAAAGCACTAACTAACACACCGGTGACAGACGGTGCCAACATGATCCAACATGTAACTGTAGCTCATGCTACTGCAACAACATGTCACTGCAACTGCGGCCCACTGAAGCTCTGTCAATTCTGCGCTGCGAGACCCGGCCTGGCAGCGTGCTGAAGCGAGGCCCCATCTTCCAGGCCTGAGCTCACAATGTCTTTCAATCTTCAGGGCCAACATGACGGCAACACATGACTGCTGGTTCGGTCCTACAAGGAAGCTCCCTCATGAACAGAAGCAGCATGCCAAATAGAGACGGAGCACTTTTCGTCACTCGGAGGTTGAGAGGTGGTTCTGCTGCGCACAGGGCCGACCTTTCTGGAATGCGGCCTTCCCCGCCCTGTCACACAGACAGTGACTTAGAAGAATACAATCTGCCGTTTCAAATGGCATCTCTGTACACAGATTGGGATTTGAACACAAGCAGCATACCGTACACACAGGACACCTTCTCGCGCATCCTGGTTCAAGGCGATTGTGTTGGCAGCTGCCAAGATTTCCCGAGCTTTGGCCTGGCAATCTGGACCAATGGTTGGGAGGCTAACGTGCTGCACTGCTGCAATTATGTGTGGAAAAGATGGCAGCTTGTGCAACAAAAACGAGCTCTCAACCAGGCTTTCTCACTTTGCTGCGTTCCTGGGCTCTAGCTTGGCCTTGGGCTCTGCCTTGCCCTTGGCCTCAGCAATCCTCTGCTTCAGAACCTCGGCCATCTCCGTCGGACTCATCCCTTTCAGCTGCTTGAAAGGCCGCGCTTGCGTTTGCTCGCCTGATGACGTCGGTTGTTCAGGCATCTCTGGACCTGGAAGTGCCAGTTGATCCTCTGCACTGCCAGCTTCCACTTCCACTGCAGCCGCTCCGGCTGTGCGCTTCTTGCCCTCTGCCTTCGCCTTGGCTTTGGTTTTGGGGTTGGCCACCACACCCTGCTGCAGCTTCATCACAGCAGCGAGGGAGGGGCGGTACAACTTGTCGCCCTCCGTGTGCATGCGGCGGAAAGCATCTGCCGCGAGATGCTTCAGCAACAAGTTCTTGTGTGTCTCTGAGAAGACCATGCCGACATAGAGAATGTCATGCTGCATAGCAGCTAGCGCAGCAGCTTCGAAGGGATTGTAATCCACCAAGCAAGCAGCCTGCGTCTCGCTCTTCAGGAACTCGATGTACACATCTGTATGCATCTGATGCCAGTTGACGGGCTCGACATCCTTGTCACCGCGCGTGCGACTCAAGTCGCCTTCGGTTGAACCACCGACCCTTTCTCGCATGTCCCCGTAGATCTCACGCTTGACCTCCACGGAGGCGCACCACCCTTGCTGCAGAGGAGGGATCGGGATGCCGGTCAGGACGTTCCCTGCGGAAGTTCCTTTGTGCTGCGCAAAGGTCTTGGACACCCGAGCGCGCCGCACAAGGTCCTTACTCGGGGAGGTGACCACATAGCAAGTTTCCAGCTGCTGCAGCTGCTTCGTGGACCGCAGCTTCTGCAGCCGACTCTGCATCTCCTGCTCGTCGTAAGTCAGGTAGAGACTTTTGGACGCCATGGCCAACTTGCCGCCTGCTTCAGTCAGGAAGGATGCCATGATGCTATGCTTGTTGCCCAGCATGCCAGCGTCTAAGACCAAGAAGGTAATATCGCGCGGAATGCTGTCCTTGGAGTCCGAGGCCGCCAACACGAGGTGCACAAACTTTTTCAATCTGTCCGTCTTGAATCCAGGGGTGCGAAGATGCGGCGCTGTGGTGGCCTCCCCGCTGGTCTTGCAGTCGTATAGGCAAACGATGCCCCCCCCGGAAACCACAGACAAAACTTCCCTCAGCTCGTCTTCCATGGTCTGCGCACGCTCTGCGGGCAAGATCAGCTTCACCAGCTCAGCCACGTGCCTGCGGGCATCCCGCTCAGCATCCCGAACCAAGGCTTTGTGCTCATCGGACAGCGTGCGCAGGTGCTTGTGCAAGGCTTCCTGCCAAGTAATGTAACTGAAAAAACAACAACACACCTACTAGGTTCAGTGCACGGCCCAGTCCTGCACCGCCATTCGCTCGGCATGCTTGGCGTCTGTTTCGCCGCCGCACAATCCCACGTTGTGACACAGAGGTTCAAGAGAAGGAAAGAAGCCACTCATGTCCTCATCCTCTGCCGCAACCAGGACAGTCTCAGCAGGCTGGACCTCTGACGGCGGCTCGATGCGGCCCGTGAGTTCTTTCCACGACTGCTTGATGGCGAGGAAGTCCTTCTTCAATTCTTCGCGGTCAGGCAAGTCCTGCGCACTGGCTCCTCCAACCAAGGCCTGCCGCAAGTCTTTGTCCCTCTTGCACGTGTAAATCAGCTTCTCAGCAAAGCTGACGTAGGTGCGTGCTTCGCGCGGAAGCCCGCCCATCCATGAAAGGTCTGGTTCCGAACTCATTGGCTGAAAATTTTTGTCATGCTCCTGACAATCTGCCAAAGCTTGGCGAATCAAGTCTTTCTGAAAGACTTCCAAAGGACTCTCGTCCAGCCAAGCGGTCAGGAACTGCTTCAGGCATTTCTGCTTCAAAAGCAGCAAATCGCAAAGCCCTTTGTTTGCAGGCTGCTCCTTTCCGGACAGCAAGCGTGAGCTGAGCTGAGAGATGTTCAACTGCCCGCATCTGTAAAGATACTGCACGCTGCCCACCAGCCAGACAGCGTGACCAGGAGCTTCCACGCCAACAGTGACCTTCTTGGCGACGGCCTCCAGCTGGTAGATTGACTGCCAGCAAGTCTCTGAACACCATTCCTCCTGGAAGCAGCACATGTGTCATTTTTGAAACCTTACGCCTCACAAGGCAGTTTAGACCTGGCCTCCGACTGCAAGATCATGTCACGGCACTCTGGCACCGACAGCAAGCGATTGAAGACAGTCAAGCAAGCTTCCACGAAGGAGATCTTGAACGCGCGCTCCCCAGTAGCAATGCTCCCAAACTGCACTCGAGACTGCCAGTCTTCGAAAAGCTCTTTGGCCGTCATCGCTACCTCCTTGCCCCTCACTTTCTTGCCGCGCGAGCTCTCCTGCTCCTGCTTGTAGATCATCAGCTCGAAGCAGCGCTGAACAGGGCTTCTGTACAGCGTATCGAAGCTGGTGCCGATATCCTCGCGCATGTTGATGCTGCTCCACAACAGGTCATCCAAAGAGGCGTGCTGCTCGAAGACCATAGGCCAGCTGAGCAGTACAGCCCTCCACTCCTTGGCTTCCTCCTCGGAGCAGGATTCGTCCAGGCGCTCTCCCACGCGGATCAGCAGCGCGTGAACAGACTCATCTGGAGATATCACGCGCATGGAGCCTCTCTCCAGACTGGCACCGTCTGCACGCAGAGTCCCAACAGTGATTTCCTTCTGATCAGCCCTGGCGCTTGAAGGCGTCTGGAGCTTCAGGTCGATGATGGTTTGAATGCGCCGTCGATTGATCGGAACTCCTGGGAGGGGCTGAGAACTCACATCCAGCCACATCACGTTTCCACCAGCTTTGTATTGCTTGAAAGGCTTCAGCTTCGGTCGACTAACTGTCTGCGCCATCTTCAAGGTCGTTTCATACTCAGCTTGCCGGAAAGGAGCCGTGGTGCAGCCCTCTTGGCCCAGCTGCAACGGATCTTGCTTCGAAATGTTTCTGAAGAGCGGATGTGCCAAAATCGTTGCTTTGGCATCTGACACAGCTTGGTAATGCTCGGAATTTGTCGAAGCTGCCTTCAGCGGCGCGCCACCTTGGACAGGCCCTGATGCCCGACGACCACGCAATGCCAAAGCATTCATGACTCAGAGGTTTCGGCTCAAGAACTGAAAGTGAGATCAGCACAAATGCTGCAGCACACAAGCAAGAAGATCAGGCGTTCTGTGTGTGTGTTTGGACTCCTTGCATCAACTCAGCAAGCCATGGGTCTGCAACAACGCATCTGCAGCCAGGGCTGCGGCCGCGCACCCAAGAAGAAGAGACAGAAGGCAAAACCTTGGAACGCAGGCAAAAAGCTCCGGAAGACTGATCGACAGCACTTATTTGTGCCCAGAGATCACTTGAAGCTATGGTTTGGAGTCCTCCTATACTCTGCTGGCCCCGTCTACGCATTCGCCATCTGGCTTTGCATGGTTACATCTAGACGAATATCGGAGACGCTTCGGCTACGCTCCGGTGACCTGGTGCTTCATGGAGGCGCGCATGACGATCACCCACACATCCTATACCAGCTATTACCGGACGAGAAAGCTTTGCCAGGAATGCACAAGTTGGGAGGCACTGTTGCAGCCCGACTGTGCAGAGAAGCTGTGAGCACGATTGAAGCAGTGTCTCGTGAGCCCCTAACGTGGCGCATGAATGAAGCACTAGCAGAATTCAAGGAGCATGCCTCGGTGAAAGCTATCAAGAAGCCGCTATGTCAGCAAGATTTCCAAGTCCCAGCAGACGCAAGCGGCCTCCTGTTTGCTGCTGCTCGAAGTGGAGGAAAGTTGCCCTGGCGCACACGGCAGTCTGCCGGGAACTGAGTTGCTGCAAGTATTCAGTAAGTCTCTCCGTACATCTTTGCACACCATCCGAAATCCCAGTCCCCAAAACCCAGAACCTGAACCCCTATCGCCTAAACTCTCAGCTAAGGTCTGGGGCGCACTGGCACGAGCTCGCAAAGTAATGTTTGACATCACCAAACTACGAAGGTACAATCCAGACTTTGCGGGTGCTCATGTTACTGTGCACGGCAGCACCCGGCATACCAGCGCAGCCCTTCTCGCAAGCAACCCTGGCAGCAGTGTCAGCCCTTGCGAAGCCACCATTCTAGAGATCCAGCAGCGAGAAGACGCAAGAACTTTTCGCAAACATTACTACCATGTGAAGCCACAAGACATTGAAGAGGCCTTGGAGTTCGGAGCGGCGCCGTCCGTCTTTACCTTTGCGTCGGACGCCAACTCAAAAGATTCACAGGAACAGGCTGCCACCCCTTGCAGACGCCACAGATACAAGAAACCTGCCGCGCATCTCCAGCCACCAAAAGAGTCTGCAACGATTAATGCAGCATACGTGAGCGGCAATGGTGATTCGAAACATGCTGCCTTGAGTACTAACTTGTCTAGGCCTTCAGATAACGCAGCAGAAGCATCCGAGTCAACTCGTCATGTGTACAAAAGTAGGAATGCTTGGCGGAAGCACAAGAGGCGCCAAGGACACAAGGAATGGCTTCAAAGGAGTTCTTACTTCCTGTGACTGCGGCTGTGTCTCACCAGAATTTGGAACCTGAGCTGAAAGAGACGTGTGCCTCCACATACGCCAGATGCGCCAGACCCCCGTTCCAAATGCTTTACCTCTACTGCGTGCTGTGTGCTACCCCTAACACCCAGCCATTTTGCAATGTCTCCTTCCTGCAAATATTAAATGTCTAAAGCACATGATCGAACTTTCTTGAAGGGAATCTGCTATTCGACCAATGTCAGGTAGCCTTGAGCCCGGCGCCAGCTTGCCGATGTCGTGCGCGGCCATGTGTTCGGGCCTTGGCGGGCGGGGGAAATGTGTCATTTGACGGAAGGGTGTTACAATCGAACTTTTGTGAAGGGAATATGTTATAATGGGGTGGGGGAAATGTGTCATGAAATGTGTCATTTGACCTCAGGGTGGAAGAAATGTGTCATTTGACTGAAGGGTGGCGATCCATCAAAATGGGAAATGTGTCATTTGACTGAAGGGTGGGTCGGTCAAATGGGGGCCTTGGGGAGGCATCAGTATAGGGGGTCAGGGAGTCAGGGAGGGCTTTAGTAAGAGGTATTATAAGGGGGGTTTTGCGGCGGGTGTAGAGGTGTTAGCGACATTTAAGCTCAAATAGAGAGGCTTTAGAGGTATTATTATAGGGGGTCAAGGGTCGGGTGGGTCGGTTGTAGAGGTTCTAGGGGGTCAGGGTCGAATGAATTTAGAGGTATTATTATCGGGGGTCAGGGGTCGGGTGGGTCGGTTGCAGAGGTTTTACAGACATTTTAGGTTCAAATAGAAGGGCTTTAGAAGTATGGAGGCAGGCTCCTTCGTTAGACATGGCCTGGCGCACAGATCGGATGCAAAAACCTGATTCAAGATTGTACCTCTGACAACCCATCAGGAGTTGAGCAGTCTAATGCAAGCAGGAGGTAGGATTCCAGCTGTTGCATGCGGGGTGCAAGTGCATGAGATACTAGCACAGTCGACCTCTAGCATAAATCAAACTGTTGTTTTGGTCAATCTGGGGCCCTGGCCCTGCTGCCGGAATTGTCTCCGGCGCGCGTCACCACAGGCAAGTCCTTCCGGCCAAGCATGCTATGAGCGGGTATAATCTTGTCGCTTGCAAAAGACTTTCCCTTGGGGTGGGCTATTGAAGCAGGGACAGCTGCGCATGACCGAAATGGTAGCGCAGGCCCTGGCTTTTTGCTCGCACGTGTCCTCTCTGTGAAACCGTGCGGGAAGACGAGGGTGAGGATCTGGGATCGCGCTGTGGGGCTTCTGCAATTTCAGAAACACTTCTAATCATCCCATTTCCCTCTTCCTCCTCTCATTGCTGTGCGAAACCAGCTGGGAAGACGAACACGCAGGATGATCACATTTCCCTCCTCCTCCTATTGCTGGGCTCCTCCACAGAACCTGCCTGGGCCGCCTTCAAAGCTTCCAGCTCAGCCTTCGTGGCCAAAAACTCCTCATTCAGCTTGTCCCACTCTGCGCGATAGAACGCACTCCAGGTCATCTCGGTCTCTTTGGCCTCGCGCTCCCTAGCAAGGTCTGCCTGCAAAGCCTGGATCTCCAGGGCCTTTTGTGCCTTGAAGGCCTCATACTCCTTCTCGCAGCCCTCCAACTTGGCAACAAGATGCCGGATCTCTGACCTTTTGGCCTCCAGCTGCTGATTCTGGCATTCTTGACTCTGGACATCTCTGCCTCCGCCGCATTGAAGTTCCTTGCAGCTCTGCGACCTCCCGCCGGAGATTCAGCGTCTCACCCGCCCCTTCCAGCATGACGTCACCGGCCTTTTCCCACAGGGCACCTTGGCTATCCAGTGTCCTCTGGAGCTCATCCGCCTTCTTTGCCTCTGCCTCGCCGGCTGCGATCGCGGAAGAAAGCTTCTGCTCCAGCTCGCTGACTTCAAGCTTGTGCCTGTGCTCCAGGAGCTCCATCTGCTGGTTCGCCGCCGCGAGCATCTCAGCGTCTGTTGGCGGTCTCGGAGGCGGTGCCAGCAGGTGCAGCAGGGGGTCTCTCCATCACGCACAAAGGCAACACCACCTATGAAGCAGAACCACTTCAGGGTTTAGGGCACAGGCGGGAATTTGGTGGGCTGTCGAGCATGTTCCCATGCATGATACCACATGGGATCGCTACAACAAGGATCTTGAAGTTCCTCTAGTGGATGTGGTTGGTCAAGCAAC